CCTTTGTTTGGCACCCTGGAGGGAGATGCCTAATGGCTGAGAGGTATGCCTTTCGCTGGTGAAGTGGGATCCTCTGTGGGTGAGTCCTTAGGGATGGCGCTCTTAGGACAGAGATCCATGGAGGCCGATTTCCTTCCTTGGAAGCCAGGGGTGCATGTACCTGTTTGTGGACAGCAGCCTTTGGCCTTCCCTTTGTCTTCCTGCACTCCTGGTCCCTCTTCCTGGCACTCCAAGCTCTTCTGATCCCTTTACTTCTGGGTATCTAGTTTCTTTTCCCTCAACTGCTCATCAGCTGGTCCTGATACAGCATTGACTGGCAAAAATCTGAAGATGAGACTCTTTTCAGGGAGTTTTTACATCCCAAATCAAACAAAAGGATGAAGATGCAATAGTTGATATTTATGGGGAGGTATCCCAGGCCCATGTTTCTTTAATGACACCACTAAGACAGATGCTGGAATGGCTGATGTTCTCTCTCGCCTCAGGTAAGTAAACTCTTGAGAATTTTCCCACTTCCATCTCCAGAGTGAGTCTCACAACTAAATGGCAAAAAGTATCCCAAAGGGAGGCAACAAACTCTTTCCAGGGGAAACCTCAGGAATGAGCTCTGTGACACGCTCCCAGTACTAGCAGAACATTGCTCCAATTTCTTCCCTGCAAAATGGGTTTAGTCACACCTCCTTAAGAATATTTTTCTGGTTATAAAAAGACTCTGTCTCATTTCCAGTGGCTAGCCAACCCTCCTCCCCTGCGCTTCATTTTGTGTTCAAAACTGCTGAGACTCAGTTTATGTTTCCGAAGCCTCTAAGAGTTAAGAACAAGGTTACTCGAATCCTGAGAGGTAATGATTTATTGATTTCTATCATATCAGCATGTTATGATATGGTCACGTGAGCCTGCTCATACAGCTGACTTCTTAGAGAGCCAAGAGAATTTCTTTTCCTTTTAAAAATACAGGTTTTTTTTCCAGCAGGAAGAAACATTTTAAAAACAAACATTTCCATATTAAGTGGTAATTAAAAACAATGACTTTCCCCTAACTCAAGAGGAATGAACAGGGCTGGTCAGCAACAGATCTCTGAGGCTTCACACCTGCCTTCAGGCCTCTGTCCCCAATCTAGTCTTTGTCTTCCAGAAAGTACTTGGGGGGAGGGGAAATTAGAACCTCCCCACAATGGCAGCCTAAATCCAGATAGAAAAAGAGGTAGACTGAACTGTAACTATTTAATTCGTTTGGTAGACCGTGTGCAAGATATTTTAATGTTTCGATTTTTCAGTGGGATCAAATATATATTCTGCAAATACCTAAACGATTGACGTTTTAAATGCTAACAAAATCTTAGAGATGCCCATACCACAGTTTACTTAGCTTTGAGAAATGAAAGTATAAAACCAACTTTAAAAACATGCAAGCTTCCCATGTATTTCAGGAAAAGCTTGCTTTTATCAAATTCCTCAAAATCAAAAGCTCGCTCTATAGGACCAATGTTAATGTTTTTCCCACCCTTTAAAAAGCCCCTGCCAGGGTCAGTGATAGGAATTTCCTGAGATCAGCGAGTAGATTAACTATGAGAAGTTTAAACTGATAGTTAAAAAACAAAACAAAAATAGGATGGGGCAGTGGTATGCTGGATACAGCTCCTACTGGCTTCTAAAAGCCAATGGTTAAATTTTAGAATTTTGCCAGCAGTTGTTAAGCAGTCATTATTAAAATTAAATCATATAAACTTATAATTAGTGGTGAAGCTCAAAGTGGTTTCAGTTTAATGAGTATAATTTGTAGAAGGGTAAGAAACAGTTTAACAGCAGATCACATATCAGATTGAATGACAATAAACTTATTGGGAAATGAGTTAGATTTTTCAAATTATGGTTGAAATGCAATCATAGGTTGGCTATGAGTTCTATGAAAAGCAATTAAGTATCCTGTGAGAATCAATTAGGCTATATGGGATTTACGATGAAGTATTTTATATCTTATTTGTTAATTGTGTTATCCATCCTTGCTATCAGTGAAATTTACAACAAACTTATGTACACTTGTATACATATTTTTTTTCCAGGACAGCAGACTATTAAACATTTACCAGCACAGCACCAAATGGGGAGAAGGGAAAGGAGGGGGGAAATATTTTTAAATCAAAGAAGGAAGTCTGACATTTTTTCATTTGGTTTTGCAGTTTGCCCTCAGCATCCAGCTGCCAAGGTATGCTTTAGTACATGCCTACAGATGTTAATGCCCAAACAGCTACAGTAAATCATAAGTACCCCATTCCCACTACTAAGAATTAAAAGCACTTTACTTGAAAAAAATCAACTTTATTTTTTCTAGGTTAAAAAAAAATAGAACCAGCTATTAATTTTTGTTGAGAAAATGCTTCTTTTGGTGTTCACATCTAAGTTTCTGAAAAGGTGATCTGGTTATTAAAATCATCCCAAATGCATTCATAAACCAGATCCACATGTGACCAGCCCTTTACAAAAATTAATTACAGTTGCCACAGCCTTTACATTCATTCTTATCACACGTTACAACATGCAGATACACAAAGAAAGAAAGGTCTCGATAAGCTGAAGTAAACATGACGGCATCAGGAAAACAAAAATCTATCTGTATAAAATAAATACAATTTTGTAATAACTGTAAAGAAAATGAAAGCATTTAACAAAAATAATGGCAGTTGAATGTATAACCATCTCATTACCTGATCATAAAATAAGTTACTGTAAAATGCATAGACTCCTTACATGTAAAGAATGTGTGCATCACAGTCATGTGTTCAACAGTTTTACACAATAAAAATAAAGCCATTTGAGATATGTGTGCATACTTCACAACTAGATACACTTAAAAAAATTTTTTGCTCTTTAAACTGTCTTTAAAAAATATTAAATGTAAAAATCCTCAGATGGAAATTTTGCAGAAAAACCCATATTTTATCTTCCATATGGCTACAGTCACCCTCCCCCAACAGTTCAGCACCCACAGCTTATTCCCAGGGTCCAGTTCCTAATTGTTGGGGATTGGTGCAAACTAACTACAATAAAGCACCAACCAAAGACTGCTCCAGAGAATATCTGGCCCCTCTGTGATCTAGAAGTTTCCAACTCAGGTGGTTTTGGTCCTAAACTTGTTAGTCTCTATGCCTCCTGCTGCCTGGTGCTGCTTTTGATTTTGCCTTTCATGCTAACAGATGTAAGGCTCTCAGCACTGCAGGGCAACAAATATAACAAACCATTTTATCCATCCTTTGTGGACCAGAACTGAACATGCTCGTAATGGTGACTCTGGAGTGAAGTCCTGTGTCATGATTTCAAAGAAAAGAACGAAGAAAACAATTAACTCTTCCTATTCAGTAGTGCAAATAAAACATTTTCTTTTCAAATATAAAAAGAATCCAAGAAGACTATCCATGATTTTTAGACTACTTTCTAGGATTATAACCAGGTCTAACTAGTTCAGAAGAGTCTTTAGGGAAGTGATTGTCAAAAAACATTACTGAGACAAATCCACAAGAAGTGCGCAACATGAGCAAAGAATGAAGAGGCATTCTTAACATTGACTCCCAAGACAGCAACACTAGAGTGATGTTCTGAGGTTCACACTTGGTGATTTAAGATCTCATTTTCATAAAAAAGCTTTAGAACAATTTCAATACCGCCAACTCTTGACTATTTAGGGATGCCTTTTCCACCCCGTGGATTATTCAGGCTTCTGTATTTCCTCTTCTGGATAGCTGTCTGTCTTTCCATAACATTTCACTACTTGGTAACATAGTCATAAATACATATGCAGAAGAAACTAATAAACAACTGAAATAATTTTTTTAAATTAGTAAGCATCCCTAGGAGAAAAAAAATGTTTGATGGGAATAAAAATTCAAACTGCTGAATCAAATTAGATTTTTGGCTTACCTATCAGTTATCACTGGATTAACTATCCAGTTATTAATTAATAAATTAGTAATGCCTACTTCCTTTACTGTGGAAGAAAATTAAGGGTTGGTTGTAATATTAAAAACTAATAATATGATAGATCTGAACTCACAGCTTTTTTTTTTTTTTTTTTTGAGACAGTCTCACTTTGTTGCCCAGGCTAGAGTGAGTGCCATGGCATCAGCCTAGCTCACTGCAACCTCAATCTCCTGGGCTCAAGCAATCCTGCTGCCTCAGCCTCTTGAGTAGCTGGGACTACAGCCATGCACCACCATGCCCAGCTAATTTTTTGTATATATATTAGTTGGCCAATTAATTTCTATTTATAGTAGAGATGGGGTCTCACTTCTTGCTCAGGCTGGTTTCAAGCACCTGATCTCAAGCAATCCGCCCTCCTTGGCCTCCCAGAGTGCTAGGATTACAGGCATGAGCCACAGTGCCTGGCCAATCTTTTTAAAAATCTACTATTTAGACTCTGAACTAATTTGTCCAACCAAAAATCATTTTCCATTCTGTAATTTTTCTTTACCTTTCCCATTACTTCTCTATAATATATTTCAACACCAATAATTGTTTCTGAAGTTAAGAGTGAACTGCTGGCTTGGTCACTTTTATAGCTGCTGGACTTGCCTGTGGCCAAGCAGATGCTCCATCACTGTGACTTGTTGATACCAGGATTCCAGCAATGAGTTCTCAACTCCATCTGCTTGGGAACCTAGGCAGTTCAGCCAAGAACAAGAAGTGCTGAGATTCTACACGCTACTGGTATAAAACTGGCACAATTTTATTTTCTTTCCCCTTGACAAAATATATATCCTTTAAACCTGCTTTCATCCCACTTCACAAAGAAAGTACAAATTAGGAATTTTTATTCGGTTCTGTACAGTGGCATATTGCTGCTTCCCCAGATTGCCATATAAGAACACTGATTCTCTCTTTACATTCTCTAGTGCAAGCAGAACTCCAGTTACTGGCAAGGAAAGCACTATCAGTGCTCTCAAACAAACATGTTTTGCAAACAGAAGAGATAGAACATGTTGATAAAGAATCAAAGAGGAACAGGACAGATCAAATAAACATCTATTTACAATACACACATCTATTTTCAAAAATTAATTCACACATCTATTGGTATTTGTCACCCTGGAGACTGTGGAAATGAGACTGCATTTGAAAAGTAAAGCATTTTACAAGACAGTTTGTTTAACATGTACATATACTAAACAATGTCATGTTCCTTTGGAGCACAGTGATGTCAAAGTGGCCCTAAGCCACATTTATGTATGCATTTTTATTTGGATAGGAGAACTGGCTACTCTACCCTATGGTTTGCTTTAGCAATGAGGAAAAGGTCTATCAGCTGAGACTGCGCATGCTACGCTTGACAGCGAGCACCCTCTCCCCCAGATGGCTGGCTGATCGCTCAAATGAACAGTTTCGTTCATTGTGTAACTCAGCAGTGCTTGCGGGGCTCACACAGAAGCACTGTCACGCTTCTCTGCGGCTTCCCACCTTCATCCATACCTCTAAACCGAAACTGGTTTCACTTGTTCACTGTCACTGCAGGACACAGAATGAAATGCTTAGATTTCAAGGAAATCACCTTTCATAACAACCAGTACCAAACCAAACACATTAACACTGTCTTCTGCATTTGACCAGTAGCAGTAGAATATTCGATGAGGTATTTCAGTTAACACGTCATTCTCTTTCACATATGCACTGAGTTATTCTAAAGATGAAGCTGCTGTGGGCTTTTATTTGGTGTTGCTTTACGTTTCCCACATAACTGGGGGAAGGTTCACATCTTTTCAGTGTTTTTGGTTTATTTTAAAATAGTAAAACATCAAGCCTTTCTTTTTTATAGCCTACTTCTCAGAATCGTTATTTGTGTGACTAGCGACAACAGGGGGATCTATGCTGCTCATATCATAGGAAACTACCACTGACTTGCTAGGATCTTAATAGTCTTACCATCCCAAACCAAAACTCATACTCTATCCCAACCCTGACGCGGCACCAGCACTTTGTGAGAAGAGTATGGTTCTCCTGTGAGGTAAATCACGTGAACATAGTGAAAAATTTTTAAACATGTTTTCTAGAACTCGAAACTTGGCTTTATCCTCACCCTGAGAGGGGCGGTTCCTCATGTGATGACAGAACAGACTACTGACTGACTGCACAGGTTCTGGGAGTGCCATGTGAGAACCTGTCATCATTATAAGCCACGAGCTCCCATTTTTCTCATAAAGTAGACTATTTCCCCTTAAATTGATCATTTAAATGTTTTATATCAATTTGTTTTGACCATCCCCAAATGCATTTAGTATAAATGTCAAAATGACAAAAAAAAAAAAAAAAAAAAAAAAAACCCAAACAAGTCTCTAAGCTACAAATAGAGGCATCACATGGGGGGGTGGGAGGGGTGACCACTCAGGGCGGTGCTTTGCTGGCAGGTAAGTGAACACCAGACACAAGGCAGCCTCTCATGGATATGCTACATTTGTTTTCAGGCTGTGTCACTAATCCTTTGCTCTATCTGCCTTTGATAAAAGTGCATTTTGTAAAATACAATTATCAGTCTATGATATGCCTTCTACATAAAATGAGAAATCAGACAAGGAAAAGCACTAGTGCATGTAAACACAGTGTTGGACTGAGCTAACCTTTGTAAAGAACACATTCTAGTACCAGAGTGGGTTCAGTGGACACTGCTTTTCCCCCACAGAGAATGCCAACAATGTACCTCTGTTAGTTGCTGAGGACTGGAGTTTGTTACTGCAAATGACGGAACAGTTCTTCAGAAGGCGCTAACCAGCTCCCCTTAAGGTTTCTAGTAACAGCACGAGTTGGTAGAAATGAGGTGCGTCCTAGAGTAGTGCCCTAATGCAGACTACTAGCTAAGAGGGACTAATACAACTTTCTGAGCTTGAACTAAATTAGCAAGTATATCTGGTGTCAACAGATTTTCTCTCAGATGGTCTTCTAGGATGATTTTATGATTTCTCCTCTTCTCCAAATGTGATGCTTGTGTAAATACGCGGTAGAATGTATCTTTTTAAAACATGAACAGTTCTTAAAATATATTAGCAGGTCATTATATTACTAAGCCTCACTTTAGTAGAATTTTAAAATATCCCAAAGGGGGATAAATATTAATCCATCCATTGAATTTCCTTTGCTTTTTTTTTTTTTTTTTTTACTTATTCTGATTTGCACATGTAAAATAATGCACACTTATGAAAGGAAGTCTGAACTCCTATGGTGACCTTGACAAGTCCAAGTCAATTTCTAAAACAGGTAATGGTAAAAATACTGAAGGATGTTGTACCACATATAGCCTGACAAAAATGCAAAAGACTGTATGAGAAATATCCACATGTTGCTGAGGGTCATCTCCCTGGACACGGCTTCCTTCTGGCCTTTGGAAGGTGGAAAAGCTCCTAGGAAACAAGATATAAATATTAATTTGTTTTACTTTAGAGTTAACTAGAGAGTGAGAGAGAGAGAGAGAGAGAGAGAGAGAGAGAGAGAGAGAGTGTGTGTGTGTGTGTGTGTGTGTGTGTGTGTGTGTGTGTATAAAGTTTCTTCTGTGAGTTTCCATTGCTCTGGAAGAGAGATCTCATTTGAAATACAAATTTCCAAACTTTCTAGCTGTTTCCTGCCTCTGAGCCTTGGCCTTTGTTCTCTGCCTGGGATGCTCTCTCTCCATGTTGGTGAATGGCTGACATCCTTCTCCTAGAAAAAATACCTGCCTCCTCGGCCTCTGTCACTCTCTCTCAGCTCCATGTTTACTTCCTTCCTGGCATTTTCCCTGTTCTGTAATGGTCCTGATCTAGCTTTTGTTCTTTCTGCAGACTTGCTATCTGTCTCCTGCTGGAATATAATCTGCATGAGAGCAGGCATTCCAGCTGCGTGTTTCCCACCGGATCCCTAGAGATTTCCACGTTGATCAGGACACAGGATGTGTGACACTGACATTAAATCATTTCTGAAATAGCATAATTTATACTAAGTCCTCTATTTATAAACTAAGGGTTTTTTCACCACAAAAAAGTGGTTGTATAACACTGACATTTTCAAAGGGCAATATGCTCTAGGAAATATATCTTAATAATATAAAGAAATACAAAGTAAACAGGTATCTCTACATTTGTTTCTGGGAAGGAAAGCTAGGTGGCTTCAGAGCAATATTACCTAAGGTCATCTTGATAACACTCTCCAGCATTTCAAATAGACTTTGTCCTTGCTGATAATCCTTTAGGGTAAGCTGATTCATGCGGGGATTTGCTTCTCACAGGCAATTTACAGAATGTACTTTCAAGTTTCAAGATCTAATATGCAAACAGCTTTCTTAATAATAAAAAGAAGCTCCCATTATTGTAGCTATAATTTAGCAATTATTTAGATTATTTAGAGGATGCTGTGTACCTGTTTCATAAAAATGTGATAAGAGGTCCTCTTTTTCAATGAACCGTTGATAGAGCCAATTGGTAAGGTCATCAATCTCCAGGGGTACATCTTTAATTGGAAAGATCCTATTAAGAGTTAGAAAAAAAAAGGTTAAGACTACTTTAAATCCAGAAGTCAAAATTATTCAGAAACACATGGATGATGGAAAGCTGAATAAAATTATGTTATCATCCTTTGCTTTTGCAAGTGTTGGTTTCTTTGACTTCTCAAGGCATCTTGGTTTTGCAAAACTGCTGTTGTTGATTACATGACACAGTGCATTTATGCATTTATTCAAACATTCACTAGCCTACTATGTTAGGTCCAATGCTAAGTGCTGAAAATTTATCTACTGAATTATCTTTTATGTATGAACAATTACCGAGAATAACTGTCTTCCTATGTTTGTGGGTTTAAGTAGGAATGGTATTTAGAGAAGTTTTCAAATGCAGCTAAACTAGAACACGTTTAGTCATTTAGTTAAATGCTCGGCCAAATAATGTATCTTAGCAATGTTCTTTTAGTGGGAACGTCTGAGAACCAGGCAGAATCTGCACAAATTATTAGCTTTTCACTAATTCTACAAAAGATAGATATCGGTTTCATGAATAGAGACAACTTTTGCTGCTTGGGAGTGAGTGGCTACTGGAACTGATTCTGAGACCGCGTGTCGACTCACCAGGACATGAGGTTGTCATGACTAGTGGCGTCTATGGAAGTGAGAGGAGAAAGGGGCAGCGCGAGCACTATGTATCTGCTGACCCTGAGGAACACTTTCTTTTCTTGTTTGTTTTCTAATTCAGTTGAGTGTGGGGTCTATTTTTTTTCTTTATCAAAGGTATAAAAGTACACAGTTTAAAAGGTCAGCAAAGGTTTGTGTGAAAATGGCAGTCCTGTCCCTCTCCCGTTTCTCCCTCCCTAGAGGGATTGATTTTCACCTCTTTTAGCCAGTTCCCTTGGTGTTTACTACCAGGTTTCTTCTTCAGTTGTAAGCCTGTCTACTGTCTTCCCACTATGGCAGATGAAGATCAAGCCCTTTCCTTCTATTCCAACCACGCACACGCATCCTTCCCATCTTCCCGATAGAGTAAGTTGTACAGTAATTTCAGTGAGCTCAAAATTAGGCATTTATATTATTAAAATCAAGTAAAGATATCCATAGTTAAGCCATGGAATAAATCATGGCTATTTTTCCCTTCTTGTCCTATTTTTTTTTTTTTTAGACAAGAGTCTCATTCTGTTGCCCGGGCTAGAGTGCTGTGGTGTCAGCCCAGCTCACAGCAACCTCAAACTCCGGGGCTCAAGCGATCCTCCTGCCTCAGCCTCCCGAGTAGCTGGGACTACAGGCATGTGCCACCGTGCCTGGCTAATTTTTTCTATTTTTAGTTGTTTGGCTAATTTCTTTCTATTTATAGCAGAGACACGGGGTCTCGCTCTTGCTCAGGCTGGTCTTGAACTCCTGAGCTTAAGCAATCCTCCTTCCTTGGCCTCCCAAAGTGCTAGGATTACAGGCATGAGCCACAGCGCCCAGCCTTCTTGTCTAATTTTTATCTTCCCTGCATTCAGCAATTATATTGTTTTTTGTTTGCTTAATTTCCTACGTTCATATAACTAATTCAACCACAAGCTCTCAGCCACTTGTCTAGGGTCAGTTCTCTGGATCTGGTCTGCAAGCTTTTTCTTACAGGGCTGAAAAGAAAATACTCCAGACTTTACAGACTATAGTCACGGTTGCAACTACTCAGTTCTGCCCTGCAGTACAAATGCCACCAGAAACTATGTGGAAATAGATGCGCATAGCTGTGTTCAAACAAAATTTTATTTAAAAAACAGGCAGTGGGCCAGACTGATCTGTGGTCTAGATCTTCTCCCAAGATATTCCCTTGCATCAAATATTCTTTCAATTTCACCTTTCTAAAGAAATTTCACCCAGACTTTGGATTTGTTACCTGCAGTTTTCATTCTGTGAAGTCCCTTCACCATTACCCTGGTGAGTCCCTGCACCCCTATGATGGACAGAATGTCTTTCATACTTCATGGCTTCCTCTTTCTCTAATTACTTATTCTGATGGAACATCCCTTTAGCAGTTTCTTGAGAAAGGGTACTTGAAATCTTGCATGTCTGCCACTGTTTATTCTTAGTTTATAATTTGGCTAGATATAGGACTCAGGGTTAGAAAGCCATTTTCTTCCATCTCTATCTTTTTGTCCTCCTTTCTGGAAAATTTCTTATTTAACTTCTAAACATTTTACTGAGTCTTTATTTTATTGCATTTTTAACTTTTAAGAGCTCTTTTATTTGGAATGTTCCTTTTTTTTACAGTATGCTAATATTGCTTTATTTGTGCTATATCTTTATGAGAAGTTTTTAAAATGATAATGGAAAATTTTAAACATTCATAAAAGGAGAGACAAGGGTTAATGAACTCCCATGTACTATTAGAATTTTTGGAAGTGGTCCTCTCCATGTATACTCTCTGTTCCGTTTGTTTCAGTCTTGATCTTTTAGAGTTCAGGTTGGTTAGGTTGCCAGTGATCTGGTAATTCTTTGCTGTCTGCTCCCATTTACAGATGTGGGACTACATAGCGACTGAAAGTTCTCAGCACATGAGTAGAATCTGTTGCCCATGAGCCTCACTGAGGATTATCTGGCTGCACTGTTTAACTGGTCTTTCCTCTAGAATTCAACCCCTTCCCCAGAGACAGAGCCTCTAATGTCCTGCCTGGACAGCTGAAGGCCTGACTGCTAGCTCTCTGGGAGTTGGTGAGATAGAAAGGAGGGCTGGAATCTCAGCACGCGGCACAGTGACATGGCTTTACCACACTGTTTTCATTATGGAACCTCTGTGCCTCAGCTGGACCTGCTGTTCCTCAGTCCAGTGAGCCTCAATTTCCTTCTCCCAAGTAAATTTATTCCAGGATCTACCAGGGTAGGGAAAGAATAATCACCAGCTGTGGGATGCAGGGTAGGGGTTTGGGGGCTCTGAGCATTTCTTAAACAGATTTCAAGCAGTCTTTCCAAATTTAGTAATGTTTTTTCAACCTTATTTCTACAGGTACTCGTGCTGCCAGCCGTTTGGAAGTTCTACGGTATAAGTCAGGTTGGCTTTTGGCCCAAATTTTGTTGCCATTGTCTTTCGCACTGTTCTCATCCTTGTGGTTTTACAGCTTAAAAAAACCACTTAGTGTTAAAATTGTTCATGGCATAGTCATTTGCATGTAACTTGAAAAAACAATCAGAAATGAACATTACTTATGAATTACATTATAATCAGATCCCTTTCTCTTGTTATTTATACATTTAAATATCACATTGGCGGTATTTTAATATCCAAATTTAAGTATGAATGGACAGGAAAAAGAGAGTAAAGAAGAAAGGTGCGTGGTATGAAAACTCTATTAAAAATCAATTTCAAAAACTCACATGGTTTTTTTTCAGTATATTATGGGAGTACAAATGTTAAGGTTATGTATATTGCCCTTGCCTCCATCCCGCCCCTCAAGTCAGAGCTTTAAGCATGTCCATCCCCCAGTTGTTGTGTATCACACTCATTATGCATGTATATACCCATCCCTTCCCACTCATATGGTTTTGATTAAAATTTTGCTTTCAAAATTTAAAAGGATTAAAGGTAACCAAAATACAGTTTTATTTACATGGAAAATAACTCTTCCATTCTTAATCATCTTTCTATTTCCCAAAACATAACACATTGCTCTAAAGTAATAATATAGAAGTGTTTTGGTTGGCCAAATAGTTCAATGGAGTATGTGGTCCTAAGGTCCAGAAACTTCAATTTTCAGCCTGCTCCTCTAAAATCCCCTATCATCCCTTATTGTTAAAACTTTAATTTCCCCTGCTCTGAATAGTGAACAGAAAGATGAATTAAAGAATATCTTAACTTTTAAAAAGAGAAAATATAAATATTGGAAATGCTTACAGTACATAAAATCATCCTACAGGCTAATATTTTTATTAGTCCTTTTAAAAACTAAACTCCGCCTAGCACTCTGGGAGGCTGAGGCGGGCGGATTGCTCGAGGTCAGGAGTTTTAAACCAGCCTGAGCGAGACCCCTTCTCTACGAAAAATAGAAAGAAATTAATTGACCAACTAAAAATATATATACAAAAAATTAGCTGGGCATGGTGGTGCATGCCTGTAGTCCCAGCTACTCGGGAGGCTAAGACAGTAGAATTGCTTGAGCCCAGGAGATTGAGGTTGCTGTGAGCTAGGCTGATACCATGGCACTCACTCTAGCCTGGGCAACAAAGTGTGACTCTGTCTCAAAAATAAAAACAAAAACAAAAAACCTATACTCCTAAGTAATTCAAAGATCTCTTTTCAAACTAAAAATTTCCCCTCTACATTCTCCACCTCAGGTTCTGATATGCCTCACTGTGTGAATGAGTGGGACTCCTGGGTGAGATCAGGAGTTGAAGACCGGTCTGAAAAAGAGCAAGACCCCATTTTTACTAAAAATAGAAAAAATTAGCCAGGCATAGTGGTGTATGCCTGTAGTCCCAGCTACTTGGGAGGCTGAGGCAGGAAGATTGCTTGAGCCCAGGAGTTTGAGGTTGCAGTGAGCTATAATGACGCCACCGCACTCTAGTGAGACTCTGTCTCAAAAAATAATACTCTCAAAACTAAAAAAATAAAAAAGTAAATGCATTAGTAATTCTGAAATATATTGCTACACTGTCTTCAAAATGACTGTATCAATTTAGATTTCCACTAGCAATTTATGAGAATGTCTTTTATGGAAAGATTTTTAAAACTGGAGAATAACAAAGTCAGAAGGCTCTAAGTATAGAGGATGGCTAGTGTTGTTTCTCAACTCTTCTATGCCAGGTTGACGATATATTCTTGGGGATCCATCCATGAGTTCTCTTTAAGAATAAAGATACATTGTGCTTTCATTTCAACATTAACTAATAAAAACATTCTGAACCATAAACATCTTATATTTAAGTAATGCCATGTGATTTTGGTGCCTATGTTTACAATCATTTTGGTATAATGGAGTATTACTTTAAAAGTAAAAGTCCAGAAAAGCAAACATGGGCATACTTAAAAGCAAAACCTAT